CTGGGTGCCCTTTTGTTCACAGTTGCGGGTAGGGAACAAGCGAGCGAGAAGGCGTCATCACAGGTGGGAAGTGAATCATTGCAGGATTGCCATCAGACCTGGAACGGCAGCGTCGTGTTATCGTTGCACTGACACACTTGGGTTTATGTAAAACACTTTGACGGGCGTCATGTTTGGGACGATTAAACTGGGATGTGCACTTTTTTGGCAGTGGGATTGGCTGACTTGTCTCTGGGAGTCGGCATATGTGGAACAAGCCAATGAAAGGCGGCATATATACTTTGGTCCGAATGGAGACCCCTTTGGGCGTTAGGCACAGATCAGACGTGCGGATACCCGCTAAACAGGGTGTCCGTATCAGATGTAGCCGAATGTTGACACTTGTAAATTAGTTAAAACCAGATAGATCAGTAAAACTTGTTAAGTTTTAGGAGGATCAGACGAGATAAGATTTAAAAATTGAGAAAAATGAAATTTTATCACATCTAAGGTGGGGACAACAAGTGAATAAATGAGACAGGGTGGAGGTGGATGTGTACATAGTAGCCTGGAGTTCAACGACTAACTAGGCCTGCCAATATAAGATAGCATCGCAGTAGAGACAGAAGAAACCTTATAAGTACGCAGAGACGTGATGTTGTGGGGAGAAACTATTATATCCGCTGATTCGCCAATCTGCGGTATCTTCTTCTGGTCGGCTCCACTGCCTAGTACCGGAAAAATACGCACAGAATGGAACACAACAACCATATGCCAAACGAGCGAGTGAGTGCGTGTGAGAGCAAAAGTTACAAAAGCTGCTTGTTATTAAGATGGGATTTACTGTCCAATAGGTACGTGAAGACCCGTCAATATCGATGGTGCCTCTATGAAAAGTATGAACTCTGATCACACTCGGTCGCGCTTCTGTCGCGTGTATGAACACTCATCGGTTTTTGCTGAATTGATTGAATGATTGGCTAGCCCGACTGTTTGCCGGCTCTTCTATTGAGACTTTGGTGCGGTTTTGAGGCCTCTGTAGGTTTCGGGCGTTCTGAGGTTAGTTTCAGGAATTTGAACTTCCTGAAAGAACCAAACACAAGAACTGACGGCGGTAGAACTTTCGGAATGATTGATTAGATTTTGGTGGTTATTCTGCGCACTGGACAAGACCACAAGCTAAGATGGAAAGTGAATGTAACAGCAAAGACCATGTAGTCGTCTAAACGTACACAGAAGAGCAACTGCGAATCATTTAGTATGACTTTTTTCATTTAACTACAAATTATACGGCCATCAGTTTCAGGTTGGTTGCTTCCAGTGTTGCCCTGCCATTAGGAAAACGGTGAGAATGGAAACCCCAACCGACCA